CCCGCGCGTGCTCTAAAAAGAGTGCCGCTTCAGCATCGGAGAGGCCCTCTAGGAATCTCTTCCTCCGTTCCTCTTGCTTTGTACCTTTAGCTTTCTCTTGTACCATTTCTTGTGCTTTTGTGCTATTTGTGTTCCTAGTCTTGTAGTTGCTGTTGTTGTTAGCTTGTTGTTGTTGCTTGCTTGTACCTTGATTTTGCTTTTGTTTTTGTTGTTCATTTTTAGTTGTATTCATCTTGTTCGTACGACCGCATGCCTGACCAGCCAGGCGTAGCAGTCTAAGTAGTTGTTGGGGATCTCATTCGTCCGCCACGACAGCGCCCCTTGCCGCAGTAAGGCCACCGTTACTCCTCGAGGCGGCCCGGTGTCGAGAAGGCGCCGTTAAAATACAGCCGGTTTTCCCTCCTGGCTGCAAACCGTCCAATGGGCACGGTGTCGCGTTACACCCTGGATTAGGAGGTGGCAGTTCTTGGTCGCTGTCCGCCCGCAGCCCTAAGCTGGAAAGAGGGTAGCGCAGAAGCTGAAAGCGTCTGCGTTACCCCAGTCCAGAGAAGGGCTGAATGGAGGTGCAGCTAAGCCCCCGCACCAACGGCAAGGTGCCTGCCCTAGCGAGGGGAATAATTGATATATAACGCGCGCGCGCGTGACGAAAGTAAATAATAATACAGCGAAATAAAAAATAAATTTGTGTGGCATGTTGGTAGGAGGGGAAGTTGCAAATTCGTGCTGGGAAAATTTTACCCAGTAACAGGTCTATTCTGCACGTTACCGAAGATTTTGTGACCGGAAAATTTTATTACCAAAACATGTTACCACTTCTTGTCGCCGCGATTCTAGGTACGTTGGTAATGCAGTGAAAATATTCAGCAACTCAACTATGAAGATTTGTGGAAATTCCTGTATTGCATATTTCACGGGGCAATATTTTGTTACCAGCTTATGAGATGGTAACCAAATTTACCGGTTACAAGAGAGCACAGAATGCGAAAAAGGTTTAAAAAATTGACAGACACTTTAATACCGGTTATAAAATTTATTGGGGTGTTCACAGTTCGTTCCAAATTGTGTCTGAAAATGTAGACGTCTACATTTTGAGACACTATTTGGAACGAACTGTGAACACCCCATATGTTACCAGCGCAGAATTGACCTGTAAGAATTTGCAAGCAGGATTGTGGCACACATTAATTTGAATCAACAAGTTCGTTAAATTTAAAAATGAACAATCTTGTTGCGATTTACTAATGAAAGAAGTAGGTAAATATTCGTTTATTCAATTAATTTAATTAATTCCAAACATTTGAAAGGTACTTGACTGAAAAAGTTGTATTCGTAATCGGAACGCACTCGACACCACTGTCGATATAGGATATGCGACAGTGACTTCCACAAAGAAATTGAAGCGTATGTTGAAGAAAGTCAGATTAAGAAAAAATATACGTATAGGTCCTGTTTTGCTTTCTACCTGAAATAATTTAAAAAAATTATTATGCTCGAAATGCAACCGTGGACGCCAGCTGGCAGTGAAACTTGCAAATAGTTGTGTTTTTTTACAAATTATCCAGTAACTTGCCAGTAACTCTCCAGTAACTTTATTTCTAAGAATTCGCTCTCATAGAAAAAATTTGCAAAAAAGTACGCGAACGCTTTTCCAGTAATAATTTGCAAGTTTCATGAACAGCTGATAAATTGATTGTTTATTCACAGCAAATTCCTTATAAAACAATATATTTTGTATTTAAATAGGTTTATTTTGTGAAATTGAACAATAAAAAGCCACAAACAGTTTCCTTATTAGTTTAAATTTCATCCAGCAACATGCGATCAGCTGTTTTTCGTACTGGCAAATTCTTACAAGTAAAAATTTATCCAGTAAAATCCAGTAAAAACTTGCAACTTCAGCTGTCATTTTTCGCTCTCTCAATTTCCCCTACTTTGCAAGTTTTTGCGTACGAAAACGCCAAAACATGAAAATTCGTAAAAACTTTTACTGGATTTTACTGGAAATGAGTAAAAAAACGCAACTAATGTTTGCTAATTCCTGTTCGCGCAAAACTTAGTAAGAGTCTCTCTTTGGGAGAGTAAGGTACCTTCTTCTCTGGATTTTGTTACTGGCTAATTCTTACTGGCAGTTGCATAGCGAACACTCCTACTTTCATATAACCTTAATTCGAATTTCGAAGATGCATAGAATGTATATGTGGCGGTTGGCATGTAAACAAAGCTAGATTTTAGGATTGTAAGTGGCCGAGTGTTTTTCACAAATTGTACTTTTATCCATTGATAAGAGTGTAGAGTGAAACGTAAATATTTAAAACGACGCCCCGAATCTTATAAAAATGAGTAACAACGGAGGCAAACATCCGGATTCTGATCCACCTGAATTGCGAATTCTCTGCTTCAATCTGACGTACTACAATCGCACCACACAATTCCTTCTAAGTTGTGCCGGTGTTTTTGTGCTCTACCTTATTTACGGGTACCTGCAGGAACTTATTTTCACTGTCGAAGGATTTAAGCCATACGGCTGGTTCCTCACTCTAGTGCAATTCGGTTATTATATATGCTTCGGTGTGATTGAACGCGATTTAGAGGCAAGACGTAGAGATAAGTTGCTGCCTGGCGGCAGCGTTGACACTTCTCAGCGTTGCATACCGATGCGTACGTATTTTCTACTTGCTGCGCTAACACTTGGCACTATGGGATTGTCTAATTCCAGTCTAGGTTACCTTAACTATCCTACGCAAGTGATTTTCAAGTGTTGCAAGTTGATTCCTGTGTTAATTGGCAGTATTTTAATACAAGGGAAACGTTATGGACCACTAGACTTTGCAGCGGCAATTGCTATGTGCATTGGTTTAGCTTGGTTTACGCTCGCTGACTCGCAAGTATCGCCGAATTTTAATGTTACAGGAGTGGCTATGATATCAACAGCTTTGTTGTGCGATGCAGCTATTGGCAATGTACAGGAAAAAGCAATGCGCGAATATCGCGCACCAAGCAGTGAGGTTGTGCTCTACTCTTATGGGCTAGGTTTTATTTATCTGCTGGTTATATTGATGTTGACGGGAAACTTTTTCAGCGGTTTTGCGTTCTGCCTGGAGGTGAGAACTCGGAAGAAACATGCACATACAAATATTTTTTTTTTCCAAAAACAAATTTTCCCACCTCGTTTCAGCATACTTTGGAAACATTCGGCTATGGCTTCTTTTTTAGCTTATCTGGCTACTTAGGCATACAATTCGTGTTGGCTTTAGTGCGTAGCAGTGGTGCACCAGTGGCGGCTACGGTGACAACAGCAAGAAAGGCAGTAACGATTGCTTTATCGTTTGTTTTCTTTAGCAAACCGTTTACATGGCAGTAAGTTCCTGAACAATTTTAATAAACGATTTCCTTAATATATATATAATTTTCAATTTTCAGATATCTATGGTCAGGTTTAATAGTTGTGCTAGGCATATATTTAAATGTTTATAGTAAAAAAACAAAGATGACTATGCGAGACTTTGAACACAAGTTGAAGTACGCACTTAACGCCTTCCGTATTTGGGAAAGATCGACCAGTCGCAAATTCTTGGTGGAAGTATGAATATGTCGTACGGTTTTCTCATATACATACATACGTCTGTACATAAATACTTGGCAAATGTGTCAAGTTTAAGTATGTTTTAACTACTTCGATACCAAATTTAGTGTAGATATATGTAATAAGCAATTAGATTTGGAATCAATAGCTCGTCAGACATATTCTTTGTATCTGTGTAACTTAAACAATAGCTACAGCTTCAACCCTCCATCACCAACAAATAATTTTTCTGTTAATTCAAAATGACTCCTTCACTGCTGTTAATTATAAAAATATACATACCTAGTTGCCGGATATTGGTAATGGCCATAATAAAATTAAAACATAGTGCCACCCAGATTTAGATTACCTTTGAAGAATAAAAGTTGGCATTGTAGCTCGTTTTTGTTATAAAATCTACTATAAACATACGGCCTTTGATAAGCTATTAGCAGCAGTTTATTACTATATATATTTTATTTGTATTTTTTATGTAAGAAACATTTTGTATACATGTAGATACCATACACAAGTTATTTTTATTATGTGTACATACGTAGTAAGTGTAAAAATGTATTAAATTTTGCAGTCACAACTTAAGTGCGAACCAAAATTTATTGAAATACACGTAAAGCGTATTTTTAAATTAATTACACTTTTGAACTTGATCTATTTATTGTTTGACAGAGAAGGATACAAATTATTGTTCTAAATCGAACTCCATAACACGTTTAATGAACTCCTTCCGCTCCTTCGCAGATGCAATTTGCCCAACCATTTCGTCCAAAAATCGCTGCTGGTGATTGATTATGAATTTGTTACACTGAATTATAGTTGCGCCAGTGTAAAGAGTATGAAATTTCGCCCGAACGTCTCCTATCTTTAATAAATAGTTTATAAAATTTTAGACGCCTTTTTTATACAACTCACCATTGTTATTAAGGGTAAAGTGCTAGTTACAACGCGATGTGATCGATGTAAGCATCTAATTATAGTCACTTTTGTCCGTTCATTGCAATATTTCACGCGAAATCCTTGCTCAACAGTGCCTAGTCCATAGTCGCCGTAGAATTTCTTCACATGGTTTAGGATACATTTGGCAATCACAGCATCATGGAAATTTAATACTTTTGCAGGTACCTCGGGTACTATTCGCACTACAATGTAACTACAAATAATATTGAATATATATTGAGCGTATGTACATATTTAGCTTATTGTTTATTAATTTACCGATTTTTAATTCGCACCATTTCTGTATGTAAAAATCGCGCTTGCAAGTCGTATTTAACACCTTGCACGCTTGTTTGTTGATTTTCGAACATAAACAGAAATCAGCTGTTCGTTGCTTAGTATTGAGAGTTGCCAGATGTAGGCGCTTGAGAACGCATGCAATAAAATTTTGCATGCTGGAAATTAATGGTCGTGCACGAGATTTGCATATTTGTATTAGTGCATGATGGATGCCACTTATGTTCAGGAAACGGAAACTTCCGACGGAACCACAAGCTCTTCATCTCAACCGAACGAAATAAGTTGTAAACGGAACTAACAGTCCGTCTATACATCATGCTACTGTTAGGGGAATTAGGGTGTACGAACCCCAGTGGGGTGTCAAGCGATGCGGACTCCTTTTTCCAGAAACAGGTGTTGTGGCGGCACTACTAAGCCCCGCCTAGGTCGGTTTGTCCATCAAGCGTTGTCGTCAAGCTCAACTAACGATAGGCCCAAGAAGCGAGCTGTTCCGAAGGTGTTAGCTGAGTTAGTTTGAGCTGACATGCGAAGAGGTGGTTGGTGTCATGTGGGGAGTCCCTACATGCCTGGATAAGTAGATGTTAAGATGGCTGTAATATCTTGACCGTAATTGGGATAGAGTAGCGCGGCTCTCTCGTGGCACTGAAGCTCAAAGTCTGTAATATTTGGAGAGTCGCGGTAGGTGGTGACAGACCCCTGATCACTCGTCGGGCCCAGAGGTTTGCTGGACCGCCTTCGCGGCTCTCGAAAAAATGCCTTATGACGTGCCTGGGCAGATGCTCTTCATCAAGCAAGGGTCCTTTGGGGTGCTCACGCCTGTCGCCGGTGGAGTGCCACCAGAAATACCTGGCTCGAATCGTCACATACGATATCGTACTACTCGTCACGTAAAGATACATTTTTCAGATTATGACATACGTGATCGTACCCTTTGTCCTATTCAGCTAATACTCACCGACGTATCACGTAATTTTCTTTCGTATCGTTTTCGATCCGTGAACGGATGTTACGATTCTAGCCCGGATCACTCGTCGGGCCCAGAGGTTTGATGGACCGCCTTCGTGGCTCTCGAAAAAATGCCCCTTGACGTGCCTGGGCGGATGGTCTTCCTCAAGCCAGGGTTTGTTGGGGTGCTCACGCGGAGTGCGACGGTTGCGCGGAGAGGGAAAGCAGGCTGTCAAAGGTAACCACTAAAATTTTCGGGTTGCTCACCGTCGGACGTAATTACAGAACAGTCGTCAGCGTATGACGCCAGGGAAATTCCCTCCGGTGAAAGCTTCGGGATAAAGAAGTTAAACAGTAGAGGGCGGGGGGAGAACACCACCTTGTGGAACACCTTGCTTAATTCTTCAGTTTGATATCGAAAGGTTACTGATGATTGCCGACCATCGTTTGAGTCCCTGTGGGAGAGAGAAAACCTCCATGTCTTCTACTAGCGCGGAATGACAACGGTTCTAAACGCCTTTGACAGGTCCAACAATACTATGACCATTCTCTCACAGGAGCGGTTACGGTTAAGGCCACGAGTTATTTGACGTTAAGTACCCGTTTTTGTGATGTGCACTTTATGGAAATGACACAGATGCTGCGCTGGGGTCAGGTTGTATGTGAAGTGCTGGAGTAACAAGGCTCAAGTGTCCAGGGAAAGCAGCGTTATTGGTCAGTAACACTCTTCTTTATCGGCGGAATTCCCCGGTTTCAGCAGGGAGACACACATCGCGAGAGATATGCTCCTCTCGCCGGACCCAAATGTTTCACTATCAGCATGTAAATACCGTTGGGGCCGATGGCTTTGGAGGTTTTCGCCTTACCGATGGCCACCTAGACTAGACCTAGGAAGCGGAGCACTGGCGGTTTGTGCAGCCTCCTGATCACTCGACGCTTGGCCTTATTTACCGAAGAATGCAGTTTGAATTGCCGGCTAGAATAGCTCGGGCATTTTTTCGGTTTCGACGATGGATGACCATCGAATGAAATTTCCACTCTGTCGACACGTCTCGTCAGATTAGACAGGAACCTCCCGGTTGACCACAGCTTACTCGCATCAGAAGCGAAGTTGCAGGTTTTCAAATGCTTCTCCCGCTTTTTCCGCTTAAATTGGTTTACCAGTTGCCGAAACTCCAAATTAAGGTCCCAAAGCGGCGCTGTGGCAGCTCGCCATCATATACGTTTGCGGTTGTGGGAAAGGCGGCGAAGCTGCTCTCAGTAACATCCGCTAAGACGTTGCAATCAGCTTTGTTAGAGTTTAACAGGCCTGCGCTAACAATTGTTAGGTCTAACGAGTTGCTGCAAGTTCCCATATCCTGGTGGTTCGTGATTGTTCATGGTGCAGAAAGTCGAATCGTCTATCAGATTAGCCAATAGGTTTCCCCTACGATCATTTGCCAGGATTAAGTGCCAAAGAGCGTGGTGCGCGTTAAAAACGCAGTTATACAAATTAAATATTTCGAGCTCGACAGCACTTGACCGTTTTCACATGGTTGTTGTTCGTTAATTTAAAATAAAGTTTCGCCCCTGAGGATGCTAAGGAGTTTTAGCGAAACGTGGGGCAAAGCAGTGAAAAAATGTTGTTTTATTTGCACTAATTACCAACCATTTAGGTCAAAAAAGCTCATCAAACAGAGGAACAAAATTTTTTTTCAGACGTTATGTGGAACAAAATGCTCAAACAAAACTGCATTCTCGAAAACTGTCTAAAAACTCCGAATAAAAAGTTTACATTTTTTTTTAAGTTTGATTAGTTTGTGCAATTTTTAAACCTTTATTTATGTGGTTTCTGTCATAGACCGAATTATATTTGAAATGAAAATTTCTAAAAATAAATAAACATAAGTTGGTAGTGATTGCCATTGAGATCACTTAAATTTTTAATCAATGATATCCTTTTTTACGAACTTTTTTCTCAATTTCCTACTAGACATTTAAAGATTATTTTAAAGTTGAATTGTAACGAATATTGCATTGAAAAAAAAAATAGTAGCAAGTATTTTGCAAAGTCTTTCATACCTTTTCGTGTGCCTTTGTGTATGCAAATACATACACACATGTATACATAATAACAATTAGAGACAATTTAAAGACCGCATTATAATTACGGCAACTACTCTCTTTCACAGTTTGCATTGATAAGCCCAATGCCATACAAGAGCAACAAGAAAACAGGTGCGGTGCTCAGAGTTGACTGAATTTCCACTCAAGAGATTGAGTATTTTTGTTCATAAACGCTTTACAAGGAAAACAATTGTAAATCTGCCTCAGTATTTCATTTGCAAAAAAACAAAGAAAAATAAAATACACAAGTCTGTTGTCTACGTAAATTGACTTAATAGCCTCGCGGAACGACCACTGGATTGCTGTTGTTATCAGCATCGCTATGTATGCAAATATGTATATGTATACAATTTTTTGTCAATTTATTACTGATAAACATTAGGCAAAAAAACAGCAATAGGCAGTCAATCGAAAAGCTGAAGCTCCCAATTAATTCAGATTGTGACCGCCAGTGTTGCTGACAAGTTGTCGAGTTGTTAAGCCAAGACGCAAATTCTGATACACTGTAAACCTAAATTTTCAAATACCTAAAACTGGTTCATTCAAAATTTAACATAGTTGCGGTTATCTAGTAAAGATTCTTGATACCACTTGATGATCATGTCCGTTGCGGCCAATACGTATTTTGTTGGTGTCGATGTTGGCACGGGAAGTGCCCGTGCGGCGCTGGTCGATGTGAAAGGCACTGTGCTGAAGCAGTGTGTGAAGGCAATAAAAACTTGGAATCCCGAGAGCGATCACTACGAGCAATCGTCTGAGGATATTTGGCGCTCGGTGTGTCATTGTGTGAAGGTGAAACATGATTCTCTTTAACGTTTTTTTTTTTATGTTTACAAAAAATGAAAAGAGGCACGTACTGCATTAAAATGCTAATTTGTATGCACATACATATGTACATAGTATGTATTAGCGTAAGTGATTGGCGTATTTATGTTTGGATGTATTAATTCACTCGTATGTATGCGCATACATTTGTATGTTTTTGTCAAATTTTGTTGCGATAATTTAACCGCCAAAGATAACCTTTTCTTAATTGGATGTCCATTGTTTAAATTCTAATAAAACACTTACAGCCCGATTCTGTGCACTTGATAAATTGAAAATCTTTATAATTTGTCAATTTTTTATTATTTATCAAGAATTGGTATTCTAGCACAGAAACCAAAAGCTCTTTTCTTTATAAATTATCAAGATGGAAAATGCTATTGACAAATTGAAATTTCATATGAAATGTATAAATTTTGTATATTAATAAATTTGTTTCTAGCAATTAAATACTCCATGTGTTGGCATTTGAACCTGCGATACACGGAATTATAGTCGACATCTCTACCTACTCGGCTACGGCAGTCAAAAGCTTTTTTGCTTTTAAAATCATATTTTTCATATGTGACAATGAAATCAGCTCCACTCATGTGGAAATCAGTTCCACTAATGTGGAAATCGTAGAGCTTTTTGTTTTATAAATATTGACACAGAATGCGAAGGAAGCTTTTTCTTGATAAAAATCTTGATAAAATTTCTTTACAAAAAATTTATCAAGAAAACACAGAATTGGGCGGTTAAGATAAAAAATTGAACCAAAAAATATACATACCAAGGCACATTACACAGGTAGTATCAGTAGAGCAGCTGATTTGATTTTGTTTCAAATTATTTGGTCTCGAAAATGTCAAATATTTTCAATTTATTCTCACAAAAATTCAAAACTGTTAAAATCTATTTGTATGTGAAACCTTTTTCCATACAAAACAAGCGATTGAATAGCAACTTTTGGAACGTTCGCCCAACTCAGCAGCACAACCGGAGATTACTCGGCCTTGCAAAGGACGAATAAATGCTTCAAAGAGCAAACAAATTTACTAAGAAAGAAAGTTGCAACAATTTTTATTTTTTCCCCAATTTCAATTTTTAATTTTTTATTTATTTATTATTTTTTTATTTCACAAGGCACACTTTGATTCAGAAGAAAAAAATCATAGCAGTTTTTGACACTTTCGACACCAGAAACAACAACAAAGTACACGCAAAAATAAGACAAAAAGGTAGTACAAAGTCATCACTAAATTTAAACAAAACAAATATAAGGGGTATAAAAAATAGAAGAATATAGCAGAATATAAATTACAATGAAAATATATATGTAGATATGTATATAAGTAAAACAAACAAAAAATTAAATTAATTAAACAAGGAAAAAATACAAAAAAAAAAACGAAAACTCAAATCAGAAAAAAAAACAATTAAATAATAAATCAAATAATATTATACAAAGCATAGTGAAATAATGCAAAATCAGTAATTTTAAACAAAACAAATATAAGGGGTATAAAAAATAGAAGAATATAGCAGAATATAAATTACAAGGGGAAAAAATATATACATACATACATTTATGTACATATATATGTAGATATGTATATAAATAAAACAAACAAAAAATAAAATCAATTAAATATGGAAAAAATACACAAAAAAAAACGAAACAATTAAATAATAAATCAAATAAGATTATACAAAGCATAGTGAAATAATACAAAATCAGTAAATTTAAACAAAACAATTATAAGGGGTATAAAAAATAGAAGAATATAGCGGAATATAAATTACAATGAAAAAAAAACAAAATATACATACATACATATGTAGATATGTACATAAGTAAAACAAACAAAAAATAAAATTAATTAAATAAGGAAAAAATACAAACAAAAAAAAAACGGAAAAGTAAAAAAAAACAATAAATCAAATAATATTATATGAAGTACATAAAGAAACAATTTTTATAGAAAACGAAATTTAAATAACAAAAAACAATAAATAAATAATACGTAGTTAACAATTTTGGCATCCGTGTTTAAGTTGCACAATCATGGAAAAATGCCAATACAAAGTTATAATTAGACTCCGGATGTTGATGCAGAAGGCGAAGCCTTAAATATGTATCACTTAACTATAAGCAAAATGTCTAAGTTTTTATGCATTTTACTTATAGTTATGTATCTTTTCTGCATAAACATCCGCAGCCTAGCTACAATCATTTTCTCTATCCCTAACAAAATCACTTGCATTTACTATCAAAAAAAAAAACGACTTTTCCCCATTCCAGGAAGTCACCAGCGATACCAACAAGGCATATATAAAATCAATTTCTTTCGACGCCACATGCTCTTTGGTCGTGTTGGGCACAAATGGCAAGCCGCTAACGGTAAGCAATACCTTTAACAGTGAGCAGAATATAATACTGTGGATGGATCATCGTGCTCAAGCTGAAGCCGCACTTATTAACGCAACCAAGCATGATCTGCTGAAGTACGTCGGTGGCCAAGTATCGCTGGAGATGGAAATACCTAAGTTGCTGTGGCTGAAGAAAAACCTACAACATACTTGGGCGAAAATTTGGCGTGCATTCGACTTGCCTGACTATTTAACATGGCGCAGTACAGGCGTGGATACACGCTCACTTTGTTCGGTGGTCTGCAAATGGAATTACGATGCCATGAATATGCGTTGGAGCGCAGAGTTTTTGAAACAAATCGGTTTGGACGATTTATGCAATAATAATTTTGAAATCATTGGCGAACGCGTTTATGAGCCGGGTGTGGCGGTGGGCGATGGTTTGTGAGAAAAAAAATTGTATTGGAAGAAAAATACATATACTTGTATATCCTTTACAGGCTTAACGAATGAAGCCGCCGAAGAGTTATCGCTACTGCCTGGTACAATTGTCGGCACATCGCTGATTGATGCGCACGCCGGCGCTTTGGGTATGTTCGGTTGTCGTGCCGCGTTAGAAGCAACAGATAAACAGCTCACAGCATCACTTGAAAATCTGCAGGGCAAATTGGCACTTATTTGTGGCACATCCACATGTCATATGAGTTTGACACGGGAGCCGTGCATGGCCCAAGGTGTGTGGGGTCCTTACAAGGGTGCCATACTACCGAATTACTTCCTCAATGAAGGTGGACAAAGTGCTGCTGGTATATTGCTGGATTTTGTGGTTAAAGGACATTCACAATATGCCGCCATACAGGCGAAACTGGGTAAAAATGAGTAAGTAAGGATTAATTAAAAAAGCAGGTTGTAATGATTTTTGTCTTATTTATTACTTAACAGGCACATCTATACATATTTAAATAATCTCTTGGAGAAAATGGCTAAAGAACGCAAATATGAAGACATTTGCTACTTAACAAAAGATCTGCATGTTTGGCCCGATTTTCACGGTAATCGTTCGCCTATTGCCGATCCGAATTTACGTGGAATGGTAAAATAATTTAGATTGCGAAAATTTAGTTACATAAATATACATACATATATAAGAAGAGAACTAATTTGTATATATTGCATTCATAATTCTACTTATATTTCCTTCTTGCAGATCTCAGGCCTCAATATGAATGCCGATGAAGAGTCGTTGGCTCTCTTGTATTTGGCTTTTGTACAAGCTTTGGCGGTAGGTAAATTATAGTTTATTGATAAACATCAAAAGCGCTTAAGACTCATATGTTTTATCAACAAATAGCATGGCACCCGTCACATTATTGATAACCTCGTCGAAAAATACAAACGTGTGCCCTACAATAGTATGTTGTTTTGCGGCGGCTTAGCTAAGAACAGTGTGTATGTGCAAGCCCATGCTGATATCTGCCAACTGCCAGCTGTGATACCTGACGAGCAAGAAATGGTTTTGGTCGGTTCAGCAATGTTGGGAGCATGCGCTGCAAATACTTTTGGTAGTCTAGAGGTGAGTGATGGGAATCTTTAGCTTAAGGTTAACTGCATATTTGGATAATTTAAAAAATTTTTAAACTAACAATTTCATATTTTCTCTACTAAGGCCACCTCCAAAGCAATGGGCGGCACTGGTGTACTGTTAAAACCAAAAAGTTCTACGAAAGATTTTCATAATCGCAAATATCGTGTTTTCCAACGAATGCTTGAAGATCAGCGTAAATATAAGGGAATTATGGAAGATACAAAATAGCATATCTATGTATGTACATACATAGGTATGTTCCAATGTTTTTTAAGTTTAGGAAATTATCTAATGATACTTTATTGTTACGTGTTTTGGCTTGAAATTTTCAATGACTTTTTGTAGATTACAATGAACTTTACATTCAATATATTTAGTTAATTAATGTAAATAATAAATTATGCGTTGTTTTATATTTTGGTAGCCTACTGCGCGTAACCGCACTTAATATTACAAATAGATTTTTAATGTATTTATTTAAGTAAACAAGTTATGTGGTATACGAACCTCTCGAATACTTCACGTTTAATTTGTGACTTTTACAATCAATAACAACAATTAAGCTATAAAAGCGGCAGCTTTTGTTACAATCTTACCACGACATACCGGGCATGTAACTCGAATCTTTTCGGAGCAGTCTTCGCAGATGCAAACATGTCCACAGGGCAGAATTATTACCTGAAATAGAAGTAAGATTGTTAACCTTTGGATTGTTTATTATCGGTTTAAGGAATTCGTAAATGTAACAAGTAATTTTTAAGCACAAGAAAACCAATTTCAATTAAAATTGCCGAGTACCGTTAGTCCCTTCATGATCCAATTATCGGAAATCAGCCCGAATAATATGGGATCACCCTGGGTTACGTTTCCGATAAAAAAAAAAATTATAGAAAAAGGTTCACGTGGTCCAATGTTAGCCGGAAACATACACAAAAAATATTTCGAATAATTAACTTCATCCTTTTTTGAAGTCAGTTAAAAATCCCAGTTAAAAATTAGCATCTAACAGTGGCATTACACTATACTAACTAACCAAAAATCTAAAATTTCCCTTTATGATTGATCATGATACATTTAATCGCATTACAAATCCCCTTATCCTTTTATGGTACAAAACGTTTTCGTTAGTTACGTCTTTTTGCATTTCTGATGAGCAACGATCAAAATATACATATTTTCTTGAAAATTAAAATTTTTTTCCTAAAATTATTGGTTTTAGTATGCACTTCTAACCGTTTTTAATAGGCAATAAATCTTTAAGTGTTTACTTACCTCTTTGGGATTGGTTGAACACACTACACACAATTGTTCTGTCGTAAGATTGAGTGGTCGTGTACGTGCGCGCCTTTCACGCCTTTCTTTTTCTAAAGTTTCTTTGATTTTACGCTCATCACGTTCTTGCTTCTTTTTGGCATACAATTTACGAACTATGAAGCCTATTAAAACCGCCGATATTGTGCCACAAACAAAGATTTTAACACTAAGAAATAAAAATAAGCATTAGAAATATCTATGTAAATAAATATCTATTAATTATAAAACTAAAGTCTTACAGCATTGAAGATTTAGCCTCTTCAAATTTTTTGATTAGCGTAGATTTGGTAGCAGTTGTCAAGAAGAGTGGACCCACCGGCGAGGGTTGCAAACGTAATGTTTTCCCATCTAATTCTAATTCACCGATGGCTGTAATGAAGCTACCATCTCGCAGCACTTCTTCGGTTGTTTGCAGACCCTTTTGTCGTACACCAGAAAAGAAGCCAAATACATGATCGAAAAAGGAAAGCGAAGACGGTTCATAGTTGTCATAAACTACATCCATATCTAGCACAGCAGCGCTGAGGGCGTCGATAATTTCAACACTGCTCTCGTTGTTGCGCAATTCGAAAGGCATCTCATTCGAGGAGACATGAATGAGTTTGCGTTGCTCAGTCCAGAAACCAGCAAAGCCGCGTGTTACACGGTGTTCACTAAAGAGGAAATTTTTTTAGTTGAAAGCCATCGTGGGAGTTTAAACATTTTGTTCACCTCAATTTAATCACTTGCAAGACGCCAGTCACCGATGGTGACATGACACTGCGCATTGGAACACCAATTGGTGTGACAGTGCCGCGTACCACAGCATAAGGTATCTTTTTATCCTTTTGCGAGGCCACATATTTCTTCAGATCACCATCTATCGCTAGTTGTGGTGCCGCCTGGAATAAAGTAGCATAGCGCATATGTAATCAGTGTGTAACTTGATACTCTGCATCAGCTGTTGGCATGCGGAACTCACCTTGAGGCAATTAACATTCTTTTTGTAGCTTACATATTCTTTTACACAAAGACCTAAGATTAGTAAATCTACGCCAAGCGCAATGGTTTCGTGCAGGAATTCCATAATTTCAACATGAAATTGTATTTTTTTGCTGGGATAGCTCGAAATTTATTTACATTTTCTTCAAATTGGGGCAAAAAACAGATACGAATGTCAAAAAAACCTACCGTGGGCTGCGATAAATAAGCTGAAAGTAAAGTTGTAAAAAAGCAGTGGTGCCAGTAGAAGTGCTGCCAAGTTTTTTCAATTAAAAAATTAACGGTTTTTATAGACACACTTCTGTTAATTTTGTTAGTTCAAACAATTTAAATTTATAAAATGCAAGTTGCGTTCCAGATTCTTCACGATTTGCAGGTTTTTACCGGTAGTCGTTCCAGGTGACCACCTTCCATAAGGTTTATTAATGGAGAAAACAGCTGTTCCTGCAAATCGTGAATATCGTGAAGCATCTGGAACGCAACTGCAATGATAGCTGCAATTGCTATGCGTAGGTGACCAGATGTTCACAAAAAATTAATCTAAATTGTCTTTAAACAAAAGCTTAGAACAAGTACAAATTCCAGAGAAACCATCCAGAAATTTGTATTCCGCATACATAGTAAATACATGGAAACCATAAGTGAAAAGGGAACCGGTTCGGGGAAAATGAAACGCACGATAAGGCTCATTATTAGCGATTATTAGCTGTAAAATTTCTTGCCCTTGCTTTTCTGACAACTTTAAGACCCAACATAAAGAAAAATCCAGTTCCTTCTATATGCCACTGTAATCACTTTTCTGCTAAATTAACCATTTAAATATATTTTAAGTTTATATTTTATTTAGAATATCTATTCAAACCTCTTATCCTTCTCAGCAATCATTTTTGTTTACTTTCACATCTGACATTTCTCCTCTAACTCGAAAAACTAATCGATAAATCTAGGTAGAGCATATAATAGTTATCGTTTTTTTCTGATATTATTTTATAATTACAAATCAACGAGGGAGTATTTTTATATGGCAAATTTGTTTTTTAATTACAGATTACGGTGTTAAGCACGAAAATGAGCATGATCTCTGTGTAATTTAAATCTAGCTTCAAAACGGATACCCTGGCCACACTGATTGTCGACTTTTTTTTAGCGATTTAAGATCCGTTAATCCTGGATTTGAAGCTTTAGTTTTGAACAAGACGAATTCATATTCAGCCTCATTGCGTAAGTCGTAAATTAGGCTGAATTGTACGACTCGACAACATTAGCATTGTCTACTGTCGTGCAAAAATAAGCAAACGACGAAAATTGTCGAAAACTATGCAGTGCTGCCAAGTTTTTCCGTTTTAATACACTAGTCGAGTGTATTTTAGGCAATGGCGCTAAATTTTCGATACGATTCGACTCTCGAAAAACGACTTGCATTCGGCACGACTCTCGCAATGAGGCTGATAAACTGGTGTTACTAGAACAGCTGATAAGCCTTGGTTTTGAATTCGCAGGAATGTTACCACCACTGCCCTCAATACCTCCTTCATTGTTGCTACAGTTGTGTCGTTATCTCGGTCTGGGTGAGGAATACCGGTCTCATTAGTGGACGCAGTTTCATCACCTTCTTTGGAACGATATATTTTGGAGTCGAGTTACTTTATAATGCTCTTTTATTAGATAAACACTTTCCTTGAGGAGGTTTCACAGGCTCCTCTGCTCTTAATACGAAATTTAACAAAAAATCGATTTTTGCTTAGTAAATTGCTGGCTATTTACTTTTTTTGGTTTTTTTTTTCACTGAAAAAAATCGACGAGTACATATGTACTTTTAAAAATTAATAGGCTTACATTTCATTAAAGGAGGATAATTTTTGCTATTTCTTTATTAAGAACTATGAAGTTGGTAATATATGAACGAATAATTTATTCGTACAAACCTGCATCTAGTCTATGTGAAGTAAACAGTCATTTGTTAGAATCTATTTGGATAACTTTTAAGCAAACATTTATAAACTCATTAAATCATTTTATAGCAGCTAATTAAGTTCTATCATCGAAAATTAATTTGTACATGAGCCAAATATACACGCTGCATACTGTTCATTGAAATGAGTGCCAGATGGGCAAACACGATGACGCATAATTCCATTCAAAGCCGAACAATAATAATAACCAGCGCAATCTTCCGGATCAGGCCTTAAACCGACTGCAGTGCATCTGTCATTATTAGTAGGCGTCGGTACGGTGCGATTACCCGTATCAGGTGCGGCACTCGTAGATATAACGCTCGCCATTGTAGTTGTAGTTGTAATTCCAATTGGCCTAGTTACGTTTCGACAGTAGTAATCATCGAACACTTCGCCATCGGCACAACGATAAAGCGTAGGATAGAGCACGCGTTCATCCTGATTCCACAATGTCTTGCAAATGTAAAAAATATTCGGATTACTTGGCCAAGCGTGCGCTTCCCCAGCATTCTCACAACGAATCTGACGACTCAAACAAACCGGATCATTCAGTGTTAACGAACATTGACCAGTCGCCGCATCGAATGCCTTATCTCCGCCACATTCCACAGTCGCCGCTACCAAGGCAGCGCCCGCAAAATAGCACATGTGATATTTCTGACAATCGTAGGGATCGGGAAAGAAACCATACGAAGTGCATGGAAAATTGCCCTGTACGGCAAATGGATGGCAAGGCCCCGTCATATTGCTGCACATACCCAGTCGTGAATTGCAGTAGAAACCCCGATCCGTGTCACACGTTTCGACCGGAATGTTTACCCAGCCGCTAGAATGGCGGACGCACATTGATAATAGCTCACACGATTCGCATATTGCACCGGCTGATTGGCGTCCCTCGCAGGTATTCGTCTCACGCGGTTCTATGAGGCATAGACTGGACGAAAGCCATGAAAGCCACAAAACACTGGAGAACTGTGGGGAGTGGAAGAAATGTGCACTTGTGTTAGTTGTCGTGGAAAAAAGGTTAGTAATATATAATTGAGTTTATCGAATTTATAATTTATCGAATTTAATTATAATATTTTGTTTTGAGAAGGTTTTATTAGTATTTTAAAATGTTTTAATATGCTTACTGCAACAATCTTACAAATAGAAGGAGAGACTAAATACAATTTTTTTTTTCAGATTACCAAAAAATTGCGGATTTTCCATGGGAATTATAAAATTTATTATAATTTAAGGCATCCCCTAAAAAATATGTATTAAGATTTACCTTAGCTAAACGGAATTGAAAATATGTATTTTGATTTCGTTGGTAAAATTTGTAAAAATTTTTATGAAGAATTTTTAAGCTTAAAGTTTTCTATCGTCCGCGGTAATTTTTTTAGAAAAAAAAAAGTTTAAAAAATAATTTATTTTCAGATTTTGAGACCTAAAAGACATACACATTTTCATTAAGGTGCATCACCTGGGCTAGATCGATTTGAAAATACCTCCAAAAACCTCATTATTTTGATTTCGTTGATACAATTTTTAAAAAATTTTATGCAGACCTTTTAAGCTTAAGCTCTTCTATCATCTGAGGTAATAAAAAAAACTCTTTTAAAAAATTACTTTTGTTTATTAAATTTTCTCTAGCTCACATACATCTTAAGTACCAGGTTGCCTGTGCTTTTTAAAATTTCAAGGTTTGGGTATCAAGTACTGGCCATTAGGATAGCAAAAAAAATAAATTTTGGAAATAGACTAAAAAAAAATTAAATTTTGATATCTATAAAGTAAATTTCTTACTATAAAATTTAGGTGGCAACCCTGGAATGAATATTACATATCTTGAGCGTGTATGTACTGTGTACACATATGTACATATAAAAAAAATGCTGATTGAAATTAACAAAATAGAAATTTGTATTACATAGAAGCGTGGCAACCCTGATCGAAAATATTTTCGGACCAGAGTTCTCACCAATACCTTTCATTTGATATTGCGATGTTTTAGATTAATTGTTCAGAATCGAAAATAAGTGGCAACCTTACACTAATATCCTAAATTAATGTTAAAATAATTAATAACATTAAATTGCTTTCGTGAAAACTGGCTATTAATAATTCAAATGGAAAAAAAGTACCGATTTTTTGTATGGAGTGTGATACACCCTAATGTACATACATAGTGTTAAAATTAATCTTTTAAAACTTTGACTTTCATAATTTAATTTTTTAGCTAAAATAAAAGAAATTATTTTGCGACTTTTCGGTATTGCTGGGGTTTTATTTTTGGGAATATTGCGAGATTTTTCGGGACCTTTAAGGATATCTTCAAGTTTTTTCACGAATTTTCGGAGTTTCTAGTGTTTTATATTTCGGCACTTTTCGAAGTTTTTTTTTTGCTATGTTTCAGGATGTTTTAAGATCGTTCGGAATATTTTTGGGAGTTTTTGTTTTTGTTATTTGTTACTTGTGGCCTAATAACAATTCATATTCAGCAATTTTTTGTGCTATAAGTTGTTATTTTAATGAGTTTTCCTGATCCTTTTGGAAAATTTGTGTGGAACAGTTCGGAATGTATCCGGACAGTTTCAAATTATTTCCTGCTGCTTTGGATTTTTCAGAATCATTCCGGATTTATTCAATAATTTTTTCGGGATTTCTGATATTTAATCTTTTGGAAAGCTTCCCAGTCGTTGCTGAGCGAAATATTCATCCAGTTGCTGATTCGGATGTCGAAGGTGGGAGTGCTATAATTGACGTGATCTCGCTAAATGGTCAGATGAGTTTTTATTAAGTACTCCCGACGAACCCAGCGTAAAACAAGTTCGTTATGTTTTCCAATACAATTTAGTCGAGTGAAAGTAGTTAGGGGGCTGACCAATGCCTTGTGTGCAGTTTGACTGTCGCTACAGATGCGCAAACTCCTTCATATCCACTTATTTTCCACAAACTTTAACCATTTAGGATTACACCTAAATACTTTACTTCCGAAGAAATCTGAATAATGACTCCTTCAAGGTCAGGAAGGACAAGGCCGTCCAACCTTCTCCTAAAAGTGAAGGCCACAACACTGGTTTTGGTAGGGTTAGCGGGCAGTCCATTCTCACTACACCAGAGGTCAGTGCAAACAACTGACAGGGAAGGGGCTGTAGTGAGGCAGGCCACATCACTTCTGTAGGCTTTGACGTAGACATTAGAACCGTTAAGTTTGAGCAGCAGGCAATTAGTTACCA